AATAATTCAAAAACTGTTAGAAGGAAGGAAAGAAGGTTGGTTTAAAAAAATCAAACAGTTGAGTGGTGGCACTCACCTTTAAATCCCAGCACTCAGGAGGAGAGGCAGGCAGATCTCTGTGAGTTTGGGGCCAGTCTGGTCTACAGAGCAAGTTCCAGGACAGCCAGGGCTACATAGAGAAACCCTGTCTAACAAAACAAAAACCAAGGCTGTCACCTCCTGAGAAACACCCAAGGGTGACCTCTGACCACCACATGTGCACACACACACACACACACACACACACACAGACACACACACACACACACACACACACACACACACACACACACACCTGTACCTGTACACACATAGACACAAATATAAAATCATTTGAAGGCAGATCCTTCTCTGAGTATACCACCCCAAAGAAATCAACTAAGCTGTAGACAGAAACAGTCTTTAGATTCACAAATAGTCACAAGGCATTGTGTCTCAAGGCCTGAGAAGGGATGGCTGAGCCTCAAGTGTCTATAGTCCAAAGACGGAAGAAAAGGCTTCCTTCCGGAGCATCTGATGGCCTTTTGGAAAGAGTGCCTAGAAGGTAGGCTTGAACTAAATTCAGCTGCACACAGTTCTTGGGAGGTGGTCATGAGGCATTAGGCAGTAGGTCATAGGAGTTACAGTGGTCAACAGCACCCTGGCACCTTCCTCAGAGGGCTCACATTTTATCCTGGAGAGGTCAAAACTACCCCACCTCAGAAGCTCTCCACCTTGCTTATCCCTGTGTGCCCAATAAAGACTGGATCAAGGTGTGACTCTGGGTGGGCCACCTTGTGCCCAGCACTCCCTCTCCACCGTATCATCTCACAGTGCTCCCATCCTGAGCCCGGCCACTTTCTCAGGCCTCCCAGGACAGCAGTCTAGAAACTGCTGAGACTGAATCACCTGCGCCTCTTGCTGTGCTCCTCAGCTTCCATTTGCTCCATGCAGGGAGGCACAAAGAAGCCAGGGAATGAAGTTACTTCAGGTAGGCTCTCTGCCTTTTACATGCTAATGGGGGGCTGTGGTTCAGCAAGTAAGGGTGCTCTCTGCCACCTCTGACAAGCTGAGTTCCACCCTGACAACCCCGTGTACATGCGCGCGCGCACATACACACACACACACACATAGTGGAGAAAGTGGTTTAAAAAAAAAACTTGTAGCTGGGGTATGTGATTGTTGCTAAGATCCTATGATTAGGAGAAAAGATGTCAAGTGGTGAGCACACAGCGTCAGCTGTACCGTAGCCCATCTATTCCCTGCACAGACCCCAGCATCTCCCCAGAAATATCAAACAGCATCTGCTAAAACTACAAGTCCTCCTCCCAAAACCTGTTAAGTTCAGTGCCTGCTCAGGCAACATCATACATACCAAAACATAAGTCTACTGTAGGCCCTTGGCCCCTTCAGCAGGCCTGCCTCAGCTAGCCAGCCCCTGTCCTACCTGTCCAGTGTATATCAAGCATCTTACTAGAGAACCAAAAGCCCCAAAGAAAAGAAAAGGGGCAGAGTGTTTGCCTAGCATACACAAAACTTTGTTCTATCTGGGGAGTAGGGGGTGGGGCAGCACTGCGCAGACCAGGAACAAGCCTGTAATCTCAGCCAGCACTTGTGCTACATACAAGCCTGTCATCCCAGCACTCAGGAGGTCGGAGCAGAAGGCTCAGGAGTTCAAGGTCATCCTCCATTACTTAATGAGTTTGAGGCCAGCCTGGGATCCCTGAGATTTTGAGGGGCTGGGCAGAGTGTGTTTTTCACCAAGTAAGAGTTGCAGCTCCGTAACCCAGAGCTTCCCCTTCTTTGGACTAGGTGAGAAGTATTTGAAGGGCACCACTCCTGTTTTTTTCTTAAAAAGTTGCATTAATCAGTTGAATTGATCTAGACAGACTAAACTGACATATCTCTGGTTTGCCTATTGATGGGGGAAAAAAATAGCAAGAGCCCAGACTTCCCAGAGCTTGGCAGTAATTGTTTTGGTAACAAAAAATCCGAGTGAGGAATTGTGCCTCCCCCAAACCAAGTTCATATAATTTTATAAATTTTGAGCCAAGCCCCTTAGGTGGAGTTTGGTCTCACATGATTGTTCTGCTAGAAGTCAGGGTCTGGACTGAGAAACTGCACGGGAAGGACAAGAGGATCCCCTTTTGCTAATGCTGGACCTTCCCACCATCCGGAAATCCCTTCCGAGCTGTAAGTAGCCGAGAAACCAGCCTCCACTCTTAAATTCCAGGCAAGAAAGGCCTCTCACTCCTCTTGATGAACCTGATACTTGCAGGCTCTGGGCAGTTTGTGTGATATGTAACACGTATCGGGACCTCTAATCCTAAATGTAGCAGGCATCTGGAAAGGGTAATTCTTCGCTAATCTTTTTTACATTTATTGCCTCTGCTGTCTGGGAGTACTCAATTCTAACAAATCCAGTTCAAGCCTTAAAATCACCCATTTACATTGTTCATGAATCTTACAATATTATCAGTGGAATCCAGTTATTTATTTGATGAAGAACAAACTTCATCTGGCCAGACGTCTATACTTCCATTCAAAAATGTATCTTAGAACTTGTTCCTAAGCTTTCTGTTCATCAAATCGAAAGTTCTTGAGTTTTTTGATGCAGTGGTTAGAGTGTGTGTTGAGTGCTGGGGTGGATGAGGCAGGTTGGAAATCTGCTAGATTGTCATATGGAGAAATAACTGTATAAAATTTTAATTATCTATCTTCAAGTAATAATAAATGTTTGATGAGATAGTAATGAGACATGGTGGGGGGAGATGTTAATGAATGTGTGTGACAAGGAGAGTTTAAATAAAGGAAGCAGAGGGGATAGCTCAGTGGATGCTGCCGCTATCCACATATTTGCTACGGCATTTTGGAAGTGAACTGGAATATATTTCATGGCTCATACCATAGTAGGGATAATATTGTGTTAGTCTGTAATGGGGACCAAGATCTTTGCATAATTTTCCCCTGACAAAAGTATTACCAAAATGACTCTTGGATTCCCTGTGGGTCTAGATTCTTATGCTTGAGGTGGTTTGGGGTTCTTGTGTCTCTGGGAACTGGTTTCTGTTTTTCTATTGTTACTGATAGGAGGGGTCAGACACAGAACAAGGTCAGTATGAGATGTCCAGTCACTGATGTCATTAACTGGGATTGGCCCTAACTTACTTTGACAAAAATTAATGTTGTTTTCCTTTTTCAGTTGGGTTGTTTACTTGGAAAAATACTATATAATTAAAACCATTTTATGAGTCATAAGCCCAGAAAAGATGACTTGAGCTCCATGATCCATTGCTGGGGGTGAGTGTTTTGTTCAAGGCAAGAACGTGTTGTCTGCAGAAGACATTTGTACAGAGTTGTCACCACCCCCAACCCCCAGCGGCCCCGTAGACTTGAGGAGGTCTTAACTCTAGGCAGGATTTGAGGAAGCTATTCAAAAGGAAAGGGGAGGTCGGAGGGAACCTTAGAGACGCCCAAAACCACAGATCTTATTCACCTGAGCCAGGCCTCAGCAAACATCAATGCCTTAAGTAAGAAAAATTTATTGGGCTACAGAACCATGCAGAAGAGCTTTAAACAGAGAGCTGAGTTTTCCTCTTGCTGTCCTGAAAGTACCGAAGGACTCTTTCTTGACCAGGGATAATGACATCCTGCCGGAGCAGGGTTCAGTCCTAAGAGAGTCACCTGTCAGCAGCTGCTTCCAGGCTCTGCACACCAAGCACTCTGCAGAGATTATCACACCTAATCCCGACAGCCTGCGAGAGCTATTTTCACCCTTATTTTACAGATTAAATAACCCCAGCCGGAAGAATAAGAATTTGCCCCAAATCACAGCTTCACTTGTGGTAGGACCAGAGTCAAATTCCAGACTTCTCTCAATACCTGTGGTTCCCTCCCTCCCCCAAAGGTCTCCTCTGTACTTTTGGGGTAACATTCCTTGCTACCAAGCAGAATAGAGATGGAACAGCTGGGGGGTCCTGAGTCCTTACTCATCCCCCTGAACGTCTGCTGGACAGAGGCCCCCCTGAGCCTCAGATGGAGAGTTGAGGAAGCAGGCATACAGTTTCTCTAACTCTAGGGTTAGGGTTAGGGTTAGGGTTTGGAAACCAAGGCCTAAGTGACAGGGAAAGAGGAATGTTCTCTTTGCTCAGTGCTGGTTTTAAGATTTCATTGGTTCATTTTGTTGGTGGTTCATTCACTTTGTGGCCCACTTTATGAGGTGGACAACCTCCAGATGAAGGGCGCCTGAAGGTTTCTGCTTACAGCATTCGCATGGAGTTTCGATGGGTGCAGAAAGATGGGAGAAGGGAGAGGAGCAAAGAAAAGGGGAAGACAGAAAAACACAACCATGCACAAACAGAAGCGAGACCGGAGCGCCATTTGGGCTGCCGGTCACAGGCTCAGTATCTCAGAGGGCACAAGCCGAGGTTCTCACAAAACCAGGCGACTCAAAATACACCATTGAGACTTTATATAGCCACTATGTAATTTGTACTTAACAGACAGCTATGTGGGTCCCTTACCCGCCCCTCTGATCCCCACTTCAAAGATGAGCTCCTGTCTCTGAGGGAGGCCTCACAGTGACCTTTTTTTTTTCCCCCCCAATCTTCTGGTATCAGCAGTTGATCTGACTGCACAAGGATTGACATAGACCTTCCAACTCGAACTGTGTCTAAAGCAGATAGGGCCTAAGCTGCCAGAAGTCATGGCCCGAGGCCTAGGCTGCCGGAAGACTGAAGTCTGGGTCCTGAAAGTGAGCTGAGAGGCCCATTCCCCTCCAGGTCTGCTTAATTCTGTTCCCAAATACATCTGCCAGCCCTGTAGCCAGGCTTCCCCCCCGGCTCTGAAAACACAAGCTGGGTGGTGGGTGGGGAGGTCCTAATTTAAAACTGTTGCCTAGTGTCCTCCTAAGCCATGCCCTACTCTAAAAGAGAAGAAGAAGAAAGAAGAAGGGAGGAAAAAAAACAACAAAAACCTCTCACCGTTCAGGCAACAGCTGGAAGGCTTGGCTGAATGGCGCACTTCAATGTGGAAGGTCACAGGGTACTGATCTAAACACTGCGGGCTTGCTCACCCAACTGTTGACACTCTGTAAACGGGACAGGCGGGGCTGGTGTGGGCATCTGAGGAAGGAAGTCCCCAACCCCACCCCCAACCAGAGAAAGAATAGGAAGCAACTTCTATTCAACCCTCACAGGGGTGCTCCAGGGGCCCCCTCCACCCCGGCTAAAGCCACCAGGCCTGTTCCCTGCCTCCAAGTTACCTTGTATTATAACAGGATTAAAGTATATTTAGCTCGTCCATTAGCATATTTGAGCCCCCATTTTGGTCTACTTAAGGCTTCCGGTAGCCTTTGATCAGGTCTGCGTTCTGCTGGTCAACAGAAGAACCCCTGCATGCCCTGTCGGGGGGAGGGGGGGGGAGACAGTCGGACTGTGAAATTCCCGGAATGCTCCAATATTCTATTGTTTTCCTTAAATGGCCCAGTTTACACCCAGAGTTGGGGGGGGTGGAGGGTGGCGAGAACCAATAATAATTAGGTCTTAGTCGGAAGAGGAGAGAAAGGATTTGTGCTCTCCTAAGAAAAGGCGGGGAGGGGGAAACCCTATAATTTCTACAGTGTCTGCCTTTTTATTGCTTTCATTTGCATATAAATTAAATCCATATTGTAGCTTTAAGGCAAGCGGGGCTTAGAATTCCACACAGCCTGGGGTCCTATTGTCTTACAGCCAGTTCTAGGCGGTGGGAGGAAATGAAAGGGAAGGGCCAGGCGCAGGAAAGAGAAAGTCAGTTCTGTAACGTTTTTAATTGCTTGTTTGTTTTCTCCGCCAATTACAGGCAAATTAATATTTAAACTTTGGGAGGCTGCAAGGAAAATGCTTACAATGTTAAGTTGGATTCCAAGGGTGCGTGTGTGTGTTGGGGAGTGGGGGTGGAGGGTTGGTACTGGTTTTCCTGCATCTGAGATTTTGCTGTAGTGAAATAAAAAAAGAAAAATTAAAAAAGATCATCGTAGCTCTTGTTTTCCTTTCTTCTCTCATCAGCACACTGAGACTCAATCGCGCTTCCCTGATGACATGGGCGTAGGGAGGTGTTGATTGCCCTGGTAGGGTCCTGGATAGGTTTGGTTGATGCCAGTGCTTGGCTCTGTTGACCATACACCTGCACCTTTCCGCATGCTAAGCAGCAGACTACTGCATGTGTGCTAAGCTGCCCGGCCAATGATATGGGAAAAGTGGCCCTAGCCTCATACTGAAGAGCTTGGCCCAGGAGCCTTCAGATTCCTGGTGAAGCTTGCATCACCAACCCACACATTACTGTAGCAGATGCCTCGACCTAGAAGTGGTGGAAGAAACATCTGAAGAGGGGGCAGAGGTCAGGAACATGCAGCAGAAAGCCCTTCATGCTTCTCCCCTAAAAACACGCAAGGGGCTGGGGATGTGGCTCAGCGCGCGCACGCGCACGCACACACACACACACACACACACACACACACACACACACACACACACACACAAACACATGTACGTGCGAAGGAGGAACACAAACATTGAAATGTAAGCACCCGGCTTGGGAAGGGCCACTTCTTTATAGTTTTAGCCTGATCCACTCATAGAATATAGGGAACTTGAGATAAAAAAGTAAAGCAGCAGCTGATGAGGCGGCCTAGTGTGTAAAGAAAGGCACTTGCAGCCGAACCTGACACCTTGAGTTCCATCCCCAGGCCCCAACATGTTAGTAAAAAAAAATTCTAGAACCAGCCTTTGCTCTCCGTACATGTACCGTGGCACATGCACACAGACACAGACACACAGACACACACACACACACACACACACACACACACACACACACATGAATGTAAATGAAAGATTTTTAAAATAATCTGTTTTATTGAGTTCTAATCAACATCAAGGCAGCAGGAGCCCGCATCTGAGTCTGATACCCTCTTCCGCTATTCTTCCTTTTGTTTTATTTCTCATTTCTTTTGAGACGGGTCCCGTGTATTGCAGACTGACCTGAATCTCTATGTAGTGGACGACCATAGACTCTAATTCTCCTGTCTTCGCCTCCCAAGTGCTAGGGTTACAGGTGGGTACCATCAGTACCAGGTTTCTGTGGTGCTGAGGATGGAACCCCAGGGCTTCTTGCATCCCGGACAAGACCTCTACGGACTGAACTGTAGGGCATCCCCAGCTCCTGGCTGGCTTTTTAAAATGAGCACACCTACAGACTGTCATGTCTCAGCTGCTCACCTCCTCACCCTTTCACAGGCAGAGGGTCACTGTATCACCTCATGTGGGAAGAGGAATGCTGCGTGAGTTACTACCAAATTCCTTTGCTCACCTCCACAGCCAGCACCTGGTTCCCCCATCCTTGACTTTAGAATTCTTTAGAATCTTTTGCCCCTGCTAAGACCCCTCAGATCCTGGCTCTCCATCCTCTTCTACTGGCTCTGCCTGTCTTTTGTCCTAACTTCCTTTTTATACTTCATTATGTTACCTCCCAAGAAATACAGCCACAGTGCTGCAGCTTCCTCAGCACGGCCTCTCCTTTTCTTTGCACGTCGTATCTTGGAAAATTCTGCAGTTTCCCTTGTGGTGGGAACATTGCCTCCCCCCTCACTGAAGTCTTCTATACTTAATTTTCATTATCCTCTTGGGTTACTCCAAACACTCCATGTTCCTTAATGACCTAAACAGGATCACAGGATCTCTGTGCTGTGTGTGTGTGTGTGTGTGTGTGTGTGTGTGTGTGTGTGTGTGTGTGTGTGTAGGCCAGATGTCAATGCCAAGCATCTTCCTCAATCTCTCTCCACCTTAGCTTTTGAGACAGGATCTCTCACTGGATCTCACTGTTTCAGCTAGACTGGCCAGCCAACAAGTCCCGGAGATGTACCTATGTCTGTCTTGCCGGGACCCGACACAGCCTCTGGATCTGGGATTCAAACCCAGATCTTTACGATTACACTGCAAACGCTCTGCTGACTGAGCACTCCCTGGCCCCTCCAACAGGGTTTTCTTCAAAACAAGCTCTAGGGAATCCTCCCTAATGAGGTCCCTCATAGTTAGCAGCCAGTTGAGAAAGAGTTTCCTGTAAGAAAGTGATGGCCTAACTGGGTGTGTCTTGTCTGTTTCTGGGATCTATAGGTCCAGAACGCTCAAGTCTCCACAGTGCAAGTGACAATTCCAACATCTCTTTTTGTTGTGTGATATTTTGCTTGTGTTCTGACAAATGAGGCTTGCTTGGAGTCAGAGGGCAGAGCTAGGCACTAGTTAACCATAGAGGTCTGGAGGTCTGTACAGAGAGGAGACAGGGAGTGGTAAGGCGGGGCGGAGAGAGGATCTAGGCCTTTCTCGTGGGAGGAACCAGAGAGGTAGGAAGCGACTGTGGCTGCTCCCCAGCTTCTATGATCTTTCAGGTTTTTACCCCAATACCTGACTCCTGGCTTTTATTGATAAGATTGATTAGATTTACCTGTCATCTCCTTGTGTGTCAAAACCTTTGTAGTCAACCTATAGCCTAACTCACTGAAGATCAGCAGATGGCTGGCTACCTGTTCGAGTATTTCAAGAAAATGATAAGAATAGTAGGTTGGGAGATAGATTGCGTCGCACACACATGAGGACTTGAGTTAGATCTCCAGAACCCAAATTAAGAAAAAAAAAAAAAAAAAAAAAGCTGAGTGTGACTGGCAAGATGACTCAGCAGATAAGGATAGCAAGCCTGACCATCTTAAGTTTGGTCCCCAGAACTCCTATGGTAGAAAGAGAGAACCAATTCCTGCAAATTATCCTCTGACCTATGAATGAAAAGAAAGAAATTAAAAGGAAAGGAAAGGACATGACTGCTCTTAGGTACGGTGGAGGAGAAAGTTCATTAGAGATAAAAGGGAGAGCACAGGCAGAGTCAGAGACATCTGGGAGGGTCCAGAACAGACACAGCCAGACTGACCAGGGCCATGTGGGGAGACGGGGGAGAAGAAAAGAAAAGGGGGAGAGGGGAACCAGGTGTAGCAGCCAGGAGGGCAAAGGTACAAAAGGGGCGGGTACCCCAAATGGCTGGGTTATATAGGAAGAGCCTCTGGGGAAGGGCAGCCCAGCCCCTGGGCTGGAGAGTTCAGGTAGAGGGCAGAGTATGCCAGCTATACCCTGGAGCAGGCAGGGACTGAGGGATGCTGGGAGAATCTGGAGGCCAGGTCCACTCTGATATATTAAATAGGCACCTCAGCCATTTGTCCCAGGTTTGAAATCTAACAACCTACACACACATAGATAAATAAATAAATAAATAGATAGATAGATAGATAGATAGATAGATAGATAGATAGATAGATAGATGATAGATAGATAGATAGATGATAGATAGATAGATAGATAGATAGATAGATAGATAGATAGATAGATAGGTAAGTAAATAAATAAACTAACTAACTCACTAATAAATGAACTAGGTGTGATGGTATGCACCTATGACCCCAATGCTGGGGAGACAGAGACAGGAGAATCTTTGGGGATTGCTAACCACCCGGTTTAGTCTACTCAGTGAGCTCCAGGCCAGTAAGAGACCCTGCCTTAAAAAACAAGATGATAGCCGGGCAGTGGTGGCGCACGCCTTTAATCCCAGCACTCGGGAGGCAGAGCCAGGCAGATCTCTGTGAGTTCAAGGCCAGCCTGGGCTACCAAGTGAGTCCCAGGAAAGGCGCAAAGCTACACAGAGAAACCCTGTCTCGAAAAACCAAAAAAAAAAAAAAAAAACCAAGATGATAAAGGTTGACTTCCAGCCCCAATAAATGCCCACACACACGTGGAGCTACACATGCATGAACATCCATTCACATGCACAGACACACAGACAGACACAACGGTAGCTAATATTATCACTCTCTCCCAGTCAGGCTCAATGCCAAATGCTTTGTGGCATCGTGACTTCTATCTCATTTTTAGCCCTCACAGTTTGACTGAGCTCTTGACTACAATTAACCCACTTTCACTGGTTATATAACACAGAGAAGTAAAGAAAAATTATCCTAAGTCCCACAGTCTATAATTTGCCCAGCTGGGATTCAAACTCAGGCTACCTGCC